AAGATTCGAACTTCAAGAAGTAGAGCAAGAAGCGTATTCAACAACGGTCCGCCCTGTTGGCTCTCGAACGCTCAAAACAGGGTCATCGTCCCTCGCTTGGCGCAAGCCGACACTCGAGCTGCGATGACGTCCGAGAAGAATGCTTATTCCATTTTAATGCTATTTTGAATCCATTTTCATTCCCAAGCACTACCCATTATAATATAAAGTCATAGGAATATCCGAAGGTGTGTTGAATCATTATTTTGCCTTAGAGATCTCATTATCATAAACACATTCCATTAATTCAACCCTCAAAATCTTTGTTCATATATTTGATCCCATATGTTGATCCTTCGGAGCCTTGTTGTAAGTCAAGAGTTTGTTCTTTGAAAGCCAAATAAATATTTCAATATCTTTTGTATCATCCTACATATCAAAACACAGAAAGATTAAACATCAAAATAAAATCCTACCTTCATCAATTAGCCTTTAGAGTTTTAGAAGTTTGGGAAGAGGCACTTGGAATTCCGATGCTCGAGAACGGTTCGTTCTTGTTGATCCATACAGAGAGAAAAGTGGTACATGGTTCTAGGAAGTGCGAGACGGCACAACCAAAGGAGTTTATCGATGATTTACAAGTTAGGTGGTCAAAGTCAATTAAGGTTTAATAGTGTCTGGACTAATCGTAAGTTAAATTTTCTGGTGAATCTTACTGGCAAGTTTGCCAAAGTTTTTTTTTTCTTTTATCCAATTAGGAATTTTCCTATATGATCATATTTGGTGTTATTTTTTTATTTGCTACTTTGATCTGAATGTTGGTGATTGTTTAACCATAGGAATTAATTGAATTAATTATCTTAATCATCTAGAAATAATTACTTTGATCTGAATGTTTGTGATTGTTTAACCATAGAAATTAATTGAATTAATTACCTTAATCATCTAGAAATAATAAATAAGTGACTTGTTACTTTTAATTGATTTAATTCTGCATTTGGGTATAACCTATTCAGTAAATTTGAACTTTCAAATTGAATGGCCAAGTGGAAAAAGAAGTTTGGATAGATTTTTTGATTTCTACCACACCTCAATCAATACTTTTGTCCTTTTTAAATTAAGTTTTTTCTCAAAAATACTTAATTTCTTTGAAATATGGTAATGCACCGTATCAAAAACATTTAGGAGTTGTTTGACAAAGTTTTTGATAAAAAAATTAGCACATTTTGATAAAAGTTGATAAAAATAGTGAATCTTAAAAAATGTGTGATTAAAATGGAAGTTTGACAATTGAGAAGTTAATTTTTAGCAAAGTTTTTTTTTATTATCAAATAAGCATTAAATACTAATATCGTATTTTCAAATTATAAACATTGGCTTTATAATTTTTCTAAACCCTACATTTCTCAAAATTTTACAGAATTTCTAGTGTATATTTCTATTATGTCGTGTTAGCATGGATCTTTTCTCAAAGATTTCCAAAAGTTGTTTTGCCAAAGGATTGCCAAATTTAAAATTTGAGAAAGATAAAATTTGTGGTATTTGTTAATTTGGAAAACAAGTAAAAACTTCTTTCAAACTTAAGCAATATTCTTCATCAACATTGACCTTTTTGGACCTTCTAGAATCGCTAGCTTGGATAGTAAACAGACGACTTTTCTAGATTTACTTGGATCCTATTTTTGAATCTAAAGTATGAAGTTTTGAATGCATTTAAACATTTTTATAAAAAAAGTTCAAAATGAAAAATGATACCCTATTACAACTATTAGAAGTGATCGTGGTGGTACTTTGATAATATCACTTTTTATAATTTTTGTAATGAAAATGGATATGGACATAACTTTTTAACTCCTAGAATTTTTCAACAAAATGGTGTAATAGAAAGGAAGAATCGTTCATTGCAAGAAATGGCTAGAACCAT